CTGTTTTAATATTTTTTCTATCAGCTAATGTAATGCCGTATTGCTGAGTTAAAAAGCAGGCTTTTACTAACTTTGCTCACTTAGGTCGGATAAAATATAGAACTACTGATGGTTGAATGTTTCCACAATGAAATGAGTCGACCTTCAGATGACGTTGAATTTCATATTCCCTCACTTCCCACAAAGCTTTCTCCTCCAGGCAGAGCTGAAATTTCAATATCATCTAGATCTCATCAGCTTCCGTAGTATGATTTAAAGTATCAGCCCTACATCATATAAGGTAATTGAATTTATATTTTAAATATATCTAGTTTAAGCATTCTTATCACTCCGGGAGCTGTGTTAGCGTTTATCATGTATTTGCCTCAACTATTTTAATTTCAACTTATTCGATGGGACGATAATTTCTGATGCTAGTATCTTTACCTTGTGCCTGTATGCTTCGACTGTATTAGTAATCTTTGTGAGAACTTAGTCACCCTAGGTCGCTTAAAGTTATTTAAGCAATGCCAGTGGAGTTTTTCCCACGATGAGATGAGTATGACTCAGGATACCATTGAATTTCACTAGTCCTGTGTTGGTCTTGATTGCGATCAAACGTTAGGCCACACCATCTTGGTATTAGTATCTCCGTTCCCTAAACCTTGCCTGCGTAAAGCTGATCTCATTCGGAATGGCTTTCAATTTCGAACTCGCCTAGGTCTCATCAGCACCACCAGCAAGATTCAATACCAGATTTTGGGTAATGTGACATTCTTTATATGGACACAGATGCCAGTTAGTCACAGAACAGATGCAGCCTTCATGGCGAACCAGGCTTCTCAAAACTCACATTTAATTGTGCTATTCCCGATTAGGCAATTAATAGCGTTACTTATTCTAGATACAACTAGGTTTTGAGACTAGCAATAGTTATAGAATAATTCTCAAACCTATCTATATATAAAATTAGTTATACCACCGATTGCACATATTTGCTTAATTGGCAATCAACCTTAAAATATGAGTTAGGAGAGGCTGTCTTGTCTTGAGTGTCGGATCTGCCCTGTCACTTATGGTCGTGTTATGGAGGGGTAAAACGTAATCTCATGACTCAGTATTGAATACCTCTGGGGCTGCTGTACGACCTAAGCGAGGTCGAGTCTAGTGAACTAGATAAGCTCTTGGGAAGCAAGGCTAAGTGAAATTTTATGACATCATGAGTCCTTTTCGTCTAATTGTGGGAGAAACTATTCGTCCTTAAATCGCCTTAAGCCACCTAGATTGATTAGGTTCTTATTCACGGCTTACCGATTGTTTGAAACTTACGTATATCAAAAAATAAGATAATTTAATAGCTGAGTTTGATGTGTTTGAATCGTCGATAATTCCATTACTTAATGTGATTTGGGGATCCTAGTTTGTTTAGAATGTCAGATCCGTCCTGTTACTTATCGCAACTCGTGGCTACAGTGATGCGATATCTTCGCCGCGATACTCACGACCCAGCATCGAATCCCATTGTGCCGACGAGAGCTAGGCGAGGTTAAAACCGCTGTCTACTCTTGATGTGATGAGCTTTTGTGAGGTAAGGCCAAATGAAATTTACTGGTATCTTGGGGCCTAATCGTATCATTGTGGGACAACCTAACCATCAGTCCATCAATTTATTTAAATGATGTAGGATGAATTGTTATTATTATAGGAGCCATTTAGTGCTTTTTTTAGAAATTCACGAGTAGGATACGCACTTCTCAATGAATAACTCAATCAGTTGTTGGACTTTGTTTTCGCAACTTGGTCATATTGGTAGGAAGACCTAGAGTTACGCACCTAGTCCATAATAAGCATGATAATTTCTAGAGTCGAACCGTGGACGTGGTACCTTCCCAGACGTTTCGCCGGCATCGTCAGTCGCCTTGCTATTCTTAGCGCCACACTAAAGCTCGTCAGAGACAAGTCACTGACGATGACGACTGTGGAGCGTCTCGGAATGTAATACGTCCAAGGTCCGACTATGGAAATTATCATGCACTTTTTTCTTCTAACCTCGCCCGATAGTATATAGTGTTTGCACTAGTATTTTCAAACGATTTGAGAATAAAATAAATATCTCGATGTGTATAATTTAACTTAACTAGATTCTATTGACTTTTAGAAATGAGATCAGGGAATATTCATTCTGACGTTCTTAAAATGGCATCTACTTTGTATGCAGGTATATGCTGCTTTGGCCCTTTTTCTCCCGACCGGTCAACTAATACGACACTCTCGACCCGTCGGCATGCCAAATTCCACACTTACATCTGAGCTAGCCTCAGCGCTTTGGCCATCCCCAGACGACTCTTTCACGTCTACTTCTCCAAATGCGACTTCCACCTTCTCAGAATATGAAGCTCATTTGGTTTGGATCTCGCAACTGCCCATGTGTGGAATCCATGTCAGTCGAATATCGGGTCACATTCTAGTCGCAATGCCAGCATATCATCGGATCGCCGTTTACACCCACGACACCCTACGCCAACTGGCCTCTCCTGCCTTCTCCTTCGCTGGTCAAGGTTTCAGACCGGCATACTTGACCGAGGAGCATGCTCCCTCACTACCGGATTGCACCATGAAACTTTGGGCTAGCTGCCCGATTGATGGTCGTCTTCTGTTAATTGATCCGGTCACGGGCCAATTTAATGCAGTCACCCCGGTCTCCGAACACAGTTCTGAGTCGGCTGGAATCCGAGACCGTTGCGAATCACACGTCATCTCTAATGGTCAAATGAAGGCCGCGGTGGATGCGGACAGGGTTATCCGGCCAACTCATGTAGTGCAGACCACCGATGGCCGGATTCTCTTTCTCGATCCTGTAGGCCAACGTCTCTATTGGGTGATGCGCAGCCACACGCGCTTTGTTCATTTCCAGCGCATCCGCTTATCAACGGCAGCCGACGATGCCTGGATTGCTAATAAACTCGACCGACTTGTTGGCTTGCAAGCATTGCCTTGCGAAATGGTGATGCTGGCGGGTCGACATCGTGTGTACATCCTAAAACCCGCTCGTTGCCTTGATGGTTCGCCAAAAAGCCTGACGCACAGGTGCTCCTTACTTTGACCCACAGAAGCAGGCTGGCTCACGCATCAATTGAACTTCTTTCTTATCTTTTTGTAGTACATTTCATTAGAATTGTTACGCTTCATTTCACCCATGCATCTTTCTGTACGTAGACATTTGTATCATTTCTATACTATGTATCATTGTTTGTTTGCCCGCTGTCCTGCTACTGCCTTTTGCTTCCCACCTATTGCCCTATATATGCACTTTTCCGTCCTAGATAAGCGTTATTCCAGACACTTCTAGTATTCTCTCGCCACATTCCTCACAGCTCTATTTTGTTGCAAAGTAGATCTTCAGTCTTTAACATTTTTACCTTCACTTACAGTCTAATCATAATTAAGGTATATTTGATCCCGGTTTGGCGCCATCTAGTTTGAACAGTGCCTAGCCAAGTGCAGCCATGTTCAGTCAAGGCTCGTAAATTCATTCTACGACCCTTATCTACAAACGTTCTTCAGTTCATTCTTTGTAAAGCTGAGGCCTTGCTTTCCCCTTACCATGACATAAACTTGAGTTCATCCATAACCTTTTGGTCGGAAGAAGCGACAGATGGTAATTTTTGTTCTCCTAATTATTCGACTATAGCACAGGTGCCGGTTGGGTTAAATATCTGCTATAAATTTGCTGGTGCCCTTTTTTGACATAATTAAATATAGATACATGCATACATACACACATAGACATATACATATATAGGGCGGCTAAAGGCCTGAGGTTCTATTTGATCTTAAAACAACTTGAATTTGCCTTGATACCTCCGTTCTTCTTTTCCGTTGTCCCTGTTTTATATTTGTATAGTAAAGACGAGAAATCGGGACGAGGTCGTGCATATACTGAAGCGTGTTAAATGATTAATAATCAATGAAACTATCTCTTGGATGTGAGGTAACAGAGCAAGCCGAGCCTCAATCTATTCTAATCGTTTGGATTAAGAATTACCACTGCGTTAATGCTCAGTCATCTGGGCTCGCTCGTTTGCCGCGGATCCTCGTGGAGCTTTGATAATATAATTGAGGTTATTTTAGGACTATAATCAACAGGATAAAACTTCGAACTGCTCATTTTATCGTGTGTAGTAACCCAAAAAATTAATATCACAGGAAGACGAGCTGCATTTGCAGCATCTACAATCAACTAACACTTTGTGGACACCGTCATTGGTGATTCTTGAGATTACAATAAAACGAACATTCGGATTGGAAATGGCTAAGGTGTCTGTCATTTGGACCCTCATTTATTTCACATTGGCCCAATAGTTAATTCGAATAGACTGATCCTGTTATTGATCCGTTGCGAGGAGCATCAAGGGCCACTTTCGGCTGTTATGCAACCCCACATGCGAGCATGCATTTCTGTTATGGGAAGGCTAACCGACCCAAACACAAGATAGCTGGTGCACAAGAATGAAATATCATTTATTCGAGTTTCGGAAATTACAAGATGACACAGAAGCAAGATTATCAAGCCTATAGTCGCGTTGTTAATTGAAATTTGTCAAGTCAAATTCGATGGGAAAGGAAAGAAGTTCTTGGGCCGATCTCAGAATGCGTGAGCGCCGATCATTCAGTTTCCCAAAAAGTTTCAATCGCGGAAAGCGAGGGCGGGGGTCAGCACAATCGCGAGATCAACCACATACCAGAGCAAATTCATCCTAACCTCCTGGGGTCGACAGGAACTTGTTTGCCTAATAATCACACGATAAAAGTCGAAATAGGCAAGATCTAGTATTGAAAGACCAACGTTGATAAGCACTGGGTGAATAAAGTGGGTGAGGAAACTTCACCTCCGTTGATCGCTGATATTCACGTTATATTGTGTCAGTTCGACCTACCTGGTTAAACTGCATATAAATACATGAAACAAGAATTAAAGCTTTAACGCACACGCCGATCTGATAAATTAAAAAGTTAATATTTAAGGTACTAGACAGCCGCTTAGCAGTTTTCTGAGTTACCAACTAGTAGATCCCAAAAAAAACCGTAACATACTTAGATGTGTATAAAGTGAAGAATATCAATTCGTTTATTGGGTAAACTTTAGACAAAAATAAATTTGGATGTGAATATAGTGTTAAGGATCAGGTGATCACTCGGCTGGTGGTCCGGATTCAATTGCGGATCGCGCTGCAACTGCCTGCCAGAAAAGCCGACGCACCGACAAACCCTTGGCACGGTTAACAGTGGAACGACGTATAAGCTCCAACCGATGTAAAACTAGACCGGCTTCAGAAAAGAGACGGACAAGTTCACTACGCTGGAAGAAATAGGCCAACGTACCGTCTTGGCGAGCATACGCCGACACTTTAGAGTCAAGCCTATTTCCACGACCGAAGCGCAACTGAGCATGATCGAGATGGGCGTAGTCGCGAAAAATCAGACGCCCTTCGCGGGGATCTATCACACTGACAGAGCAAAAAAGATAAGATGTATTTGCAATGGCAATTAACGCATAAATAAACAGTGATGTGAAGTATAAATGGTTCATAAATTGCAGGATTACACTTAAGCCGCGTGAGTGCGCGCGTCCATTTGCAAGCATGACGCTTTATTTATAGGTGTGTGCCTCAAAGCAATAGCTGTGATCGGATGATTAGAGGTATTTATAAAAAGTAATCTATTGATTGTAAATATCTGGATCATTCGTCTATTTAAGCGAAGTGAAAGATGCTCCAACGTTAAATAGATAGATAGTTCCCTAAAATAAATGACAAATCTTCTCAGGTGCTTGGCCATAGAATTATGAAAATTAGGTTTTAGCTAAATATTTACGGATTCTT